TTCTTATCATATCACATTCATGTCAATAAATCATATGTGATTTATCTTTTCTGGCTCCCTTTCACATTCTTACTATCACTTTTTTTTTTTTTTACTATTTTTCCAAATTCTACAGTGATAATCTTACTCAAGGGTAGTTGCTTTTAGGAAATATTGGCATGGCATCATAAGTTCTTTGGAGGAATGTTGTTTTAGGTTAACAAGAAAGTAGCAAAGAGAAAACATAATAAGGAGTTCTATGGGGTCAAGGAAGGATAGACACTGTTCAAATTGATTTTGAGAGAACTGATAAAATAGACATATCCATATATATTTCATTTTATATATATATATATATATATATATATATATATATATAATGTTCTAGGCCATAAAGTATGGATATTAAATTATGCCCTAAACTGTAATTTTTAATATAATAGGTGTTCAAACCATATTTGCTGCTTTTGCAGTCAAGTGACACTTTTTTGCTTTTAATTCTTCAGTGGCACCTTCAATAGGTACTGCATAAATGAGATCATGACTTTTATATCTTTGAATGGTCAGTCTGTGCTCTTAATAAGATCTCTCTTTTTTTTTTCTGAGCAAAAAATTGTTCAGGAAAAAAAAAAGGTTTACTAGGTTTACTTTTATATCCAATTTTGGTTTCCTTTCACATGTTGATTCGACTTAATATCTACTTCTAGTGTGTCAGTAGTAAAAAGAATAAAGAAAAAAATATTTAGGATGCCACTACATTTATGGAAAAAATACCAGAGAAAAATATATTCCAGTGTTATCATCTTTTGTCTTTGTCAACCATGTAGACATAAAAGAAAATGTAAAAATTATTCACAGTGATTGACATTTCATGGGCAAAACACAGTTCCTCATTTTGTGGTTAATTTTTTTTCCTCAAGCAAATGCAGTGGCAGATACAGGGGTGGTATGTCACGGTGCCCTTGTACTTTATGATGTTATCTCCCCTGAACTTTATTATTTTATTTTATTACTATAAAGTCAGTTCTTGATGGCAGTTTTCTATTTTCTAAAATGTAGGGGCTTCATATTCTGGGTTTTTTTGACCTATTATTAAGATGTTAGTTTCAATTTTTTTAAAATTTAGGAAACATGCATGTCAACTGTACCACCAGCCACTAACAATGAAATATAGTAATACAAAAGTTAACTAAGGTATAAACATGCAAAAGGGGAAGTCTCCCTGAGATCATAAAATGATGTTATTTTCTGTTCAGCAGTTCATGTTACTGCTGTTCATGCTAATTAATTAAAGGAGCTGTTGCAGTAATGTGCAAACAGGGAATCTGAGAAACTGAGAGGGTTTTTAGGTCTCCAAGTGAAGTTAAGTCAATCTGGGCGCAAGCAATCAAATGTAATGAAATCACTTGTCAGTGCTAAGCTTGCAAAAACTGTGAAGTTTGACTAGGGAGTAAAAGGATTATAATTAGATTTCCAGTAGGATAATAACTAAATGGCAGAATGCAGTAAAAAGAAATATTACTTTGTTAGCTAATGGTACTGCTGTTTAGTTTTAGTTTTTATCAGCGCACTTGTAGTTGCGCTAATTTAATTTGGTTTTATCAGCAAAAATGCACTACACAAATGGCACTTGAATGTCATTTGCAAAAAATCATTGATCTGAAGGTGCACTTAATGATACCGGGTATGTTTATGCTATGTGAAACAGGGATTGGTTGATAAGATGGTTGATGTACTATCTTGCAGGCCCTCAACTGAGTTATAGGAATCTGGATGCAGTGACATTAGCACAAATGCTTCACCAAATCCTTCATCTCTAAAGATAATGGACATAACCATTGGAGTAGTATGTATACATGTGTGATCACTAGAAAACATTCTGTAGGAGTTGCTATGGTAGACTCCAAAAATACAAAAGATATCGATACCTTTTTATGAAAACTTGGTCTATGCATATTATCTTCTCTGTCAAACAACACTCAAAGCATAAAAGACATGAAATAACTAAGCTGAAGAGATGCATTATATATACATAATGCACTACATATAATGCATTATATGTATTATAAGTAATGAACATATATACAATGCATCAGATATATTATATGTAATGCATTATATGTATACAATATATATAGTGTACATATATAATCTTATAAGATTTCTGGTACATGTGCAGTTTGTCTGCACTAAGTCCCATGTGGAAATTACCATAAAATTGGATACAACTTTTTTGTTTCCAGGGGTGGCCATGTAACATTTTTCCAAGTGCTTTTTAAATTCTTAAGGAGATGTCATAGTGGAATCAATTAAATTTCAAAGTGAGAGTAGTAGGTGAATGATAGATTTCTATGTAACAGTGCTATTGACAATAGAAAGAGAAAGCACTTTACTGATGCTGGAATTGTTTCCCAGGATGGAGATGAATTTTGGAAATGGCATTGTATTGTCATATATGAACTGATCCTCACAAAAAATTATAGGAAATGATCTTTCAAGTTAAAAAATAGGTTTCAAGGGAGATGGAAAAGATTAAAACAATATCAAAATAAGCCGCAAAAAAGAACTATAATAAACAAACCAAAATTGTTAGGAAGAATCGAAAATTAATGGCCAAGCTTGTATTTCATGTTTTCCAAGCATTACACATTTCCTGAATTTCTTAGATACATTCAAAAGTAATGTTTTTATTACCTTTTATTATTTTACAAATAATAGGCAAAATCATTGGGATTTGTAGGTGATTGTTTGACATAATTGATTTGGCAACCTCTATTTAAGATTAGTTCTGATGATATTTTAGGCACCTATTTTCCTGGCTAAAAGAATAAAACATATTTGCTAATTTTTTTTTTTATTAAATGGTGATTCTACTGTCATATTAACACAAGACATTAACTCTAGTTTTTCATAAGGTGATGATAGGGGATTTATCATTTACAGTGCTTGAATGTGCTAAGAGAGGGGATAAGGTACATTTTTTCCATGTTTATCACATTTACATGGAAATTTATTTAATGTAACGTAAAAGACAGACATCCAACGAATAATTATTAACCTACCATATTTTACCATATATAGACAATATTGAACACAAATACTAGACAATGTAATTTTTAATTTGGAAAAAAATACAAATCAATTTCATTGCTTTAAAATAAATTCCATCTCAGTCCTTTTAAGATTTCTCTAATTCTCTCATATTTAGCAATTAACAACTTGTAGAATTTTTTAAAAGTATGCACAGTGAAAACAAATATTAAATGTGTCCTTCCCTAAGTATAATATGCAAAAGTCATTCTTGGTAGACTTCATAAAAAATTTGGAAAGGAAGAATGGACCTACCTTTTGCTTATATTACCTAATTGACTGCCCACGAATACAATATCACTATTTGTTATATGGAAATGAAATAACTTTAGGACAATTCAAAAGCTTGTATTTCTCTCAGAGTTAAGAAAAATGTTATTACTATGAACTAAAGATATCATATAAATTAAACAATCAGTAATAAATTGGAGGTACAGGGTTAAAGGATAATAAAGATAAAACTCACTAGTGGTGTATTTGGATTATCCTCTCCAGTTTCAAATCTGACCTTAAACCCACTCAAAGCAGGGCACTATCAAGTTCGATGTTCCTTAAAGACTATGTCTATATTTGTGTGTCACTGATTCAGAAGGGATCAAACACTTTAGGCTATTCATTTTAGCCGTGGCACTGGTATATGATGGCAACCTCAAATACCAGGCCTACAACTAGTGGAACACTTCTTAATGAATTTTCTGTGATGAATTGGTTGGACAAACATTGAATCCCATTTGAATCGGTTTTGCTCATATAGACACAGCCTTTAAGTGGAGGGACTAAAGCAGGCAAGCAAAAAAGGGATACGAAATAGCAAAAGCTTCACTGAATGAGGTAAGCATGCATGCTTTTACACCTAACATCGTTAGTGCATTAGTTAGGTCTACCCAGCTGCAGCAGAATCAGGCATCACTAGAGCATCCATGAGCGCTAACGTTTATGGTTTTATAAGGATGACTTGTGAAATTACACGTAAAACAATTTATGAAGCTACCACATAAAATGGTGACCCTCTGATGAACCCAAATGGATATTTTGGCCACATCCAGTTCTGTTGCCTTTGTGTAGATCCACTCATCACACAGAAGAAAAGCACTGATTAATTCCAGCAAGCAACATATACATAGTTGTCTACATTTTTTCAAAGTTAGGAAATTGTTTTCTCATGGGAATGTTCTTTTTTATTAGGGTGAGGCATTTTATCACAATAAATGTGAAAATAAATGTAATCTGCATGCAAAAGACTAGAAGTGCATTGGAATCACACTGGGAAATTTTCAGTGGTCACATTTAACTCATATTTTTATGTGCTTTTGTACTCCAGTGAGACTCTATATTGATTAGTTTCATCTGTTTTCTTACTACTAAATATTGTCAAATATTTTTGAAGATGTAAGCATTTGTGACAACATGTAAATCACTAATTATAAGTCATGTTCTGTTTTTCATACTTAAGTGGCCGCTAAGTTTAATATCAAAATTTAAAGGATGAAAAAAAATGTTGTCTGGAAAACCTTTAAAATTTTGATAGTTACAATAATTGTACCTGTGGCTTTTACAAACAGTAAAGTGTAATTACAAAAATACCTTACGGTATTGTGCACTTTTAAAAGGTACATCACATTCACATTTATGCATTTTTAGAATATGCCTGACATACAAATGTGTATTCTTTTTACAGCCAAACGTATTTGCTCACATTGTATATATAAAATTATTAGTCCCTATGTAATCATGGTTATTGGGGTTTCAAAGCCATGTTAAGTATTTTTTCCTCAAAAAACTGCAAATTGCTTCCATTGTCATAAAGTAAGAAGTGTTAAAACTTATTTATTTTGTGTAGATAAAGAATATCATCACAGGAGCTCATCCCCCCTCATCCCCAGGGGTCACATATTAAGCAGTTATAGAAAGAAGTTTGCAATTGACTGTACCTTGCATGGCAGCACTATCATGAGGCGTCCCATTGTTTTCTATTTCAATATCTGGAATTCCAGTATCTGAAATAAGTGACATATGAGATTAAGGTACAATTAGGTGGTTCCTGATTCCACTTAAAAGGGAAAACTCCAGTAAAACTCTACTGGCTTACTGGAGTTGGTCCTATAGATAACATAAGACCTTGGGTGGCATTTTTGTTTGTTGTATTGTTGTATATCTGTTCGTTTTTAATGGTAGGAGGGAGGATTATAAACTGTAGCTGAATTTTACAATGGAGCCTGTATTTCTAGGTATATTACAAATGCTTCTATTTTTTTCATTCCCTAAAAATAAATCTTAGGGAAATAATCTGTCCATTAAATCCCTCTAAGACTATTAGGTTAACTTGCCCCCATCCTCATGGTATATTTTACATTTGTAAGATGTGATAGATGATATTATCTATGATATATATATATGTACACACACATACACATACATTTAGTGTACAAATATATATATGCAAATATATATACTATATAAATATATAGATGATATTATCTGTGATATATATATGCACATACACACATATATGGTGTACAAATATATATATATATGCACAAATATATATATTATATATATGGTAAGTAAAAGTGAATACCAAAATACTCATTATGGTTTGTGGTCTTTATGTAGTACTGGCTCTAGGGGCAAATGTTTTATGATTGTGCTTTTCAGGTAAAAGCTAATAATTTTGATGTAAAAAGGTTCTGCTTGTGTGTGTACATATTTACTTGAAATTGAGTGTGAGTGAGATGAAACAACGTTATGTGGCCTCAGAATTAAAAATGGAATTAGAAAAGTTTGGAATTAAGGGATTTCATAATTCAAGCACCTCCTTTTACAGAATCTGCAGGGATTTACTTAGAACATGTTTCTTCAACCCAGTACTTCTTAAACATGGCAACACTGATGCAATCTGCATTAAAGGAACAAGCATTGTATAGATAATCAAAATACAGTTCGCCAAACATCAGCATATTCTAATATGAGTGGACCTAATGCAGCCACATTTTAGGTGCTGGGTGGGTTATAAGCGTAATTGCTTCTACTGCAAAAGTCAGTAGGATTTCTTGTTATTCCAAGGCTATTTGTATCTCCCAAACAGTGATTATTTTGACTGGGTTTAATTCATGATCTAAAACACTTGGCCTCAAATTGATTTTTAATCATTCCTGGACAAAATATGTCTGTGTTTCCCTTTCTCCCTTCCTTTCTTCCTGCCTTCCTCTCTTTTTTTTTTCTTCTATTTTTCTTAAATCATTTTTGCTTTGTTTACCTTGAGTGTGAAAGTCCAAATCAGATGTTACCTTTTAACATCCTCAGGCCACTGTCACTAGTGGTGGTTTGCTTAAGTGCCTGCTCCACTTGCTCCCGGCGCTTTGATTCAAATTCCAAGGCTTCCTGCAGTTTTCTCTTGGTTTTTTTCTCCTTCTTCAGGCGCTTTTGCATGGTAGCTGAAATGTAAAAAGGTAGTTTGCAAAGACTTGTTCAATGAAATAGGGATGACAGTTTTGGTGAATTATAAACCACAGATACAGGTATAGATAGATATGGAAATGTTTCACTTGACATATAATCAACATTCTTTTTGCCCTAATTTTTATTAGGCTCATTTAAAGAATACGTCATTTACTGTAGTTCAATTACACAATTGACTTCTTTCTATTTTCATATTTCCAGACTGCATGTTCTGTAATACACGTGCATTTGTATGATGGTGGCAGTGGTGGTGAAGAATTGTCTTTTACTTTGACTCTCTATATGCATTTAATGATTCATTAAACATTTTCTAATTCTCTGAAAGAGATACTCTTATTTATCAGGTTGCTTTTTACTATTCATATTTCAAAATACAAAAAATCCTGAAAATGTCTATTAGGTTGAAAAATATAACCTTTAAAACTGAAAATGGAAAGTGTCCATTTCTCTGAAATGTTACCAGTTATAAAGGCAAATATCTATCTGTTTAATATACATATCATCAGTCTCTCTCTCTCTCTCTCTCTCTCTCTCTGCATCTCTCTTGCTCTTTCTCTGTATATGTATATACAGTCATAGGCTGCATAATGATTTTTCAGTCAATGATGGATCACATATACAATGGTGGTTCCATAAGATTATAATGCAGCTGAAAATCCCTATCACCTAGCGACATTGTAATCATCCTAATGTCCCAGTGCAATGCATTACTAGTGGGTATGTGGTGTTGCTGGTGTAAATAAATCTACTGTGCTGCTAGTCATGTAAACAACAAACTTTCAAGTAAGAAAAACACTTTTATCTCAATTTTATAGATGAAGAACCTGAGTCCTTGACAGATCAAGAAGTTTACCCAAGACAACATAGCTACTAGTTTTCAAAGCATGAAGACCAAAGATCACATAGGTAGTTGTTCCGAAGCCTAAGGACCATATAGTTGGCCAGGGGACCACAGTAGGTGACCTCCAAGGTTTCTTGTAGCTATATTATTGTAAGATTTTAAGTGTTTAATCTGCAAAGAATATTATTGTATGTGTATAAGTGTGTTTGATCCAAGTAACACAGTCTGACTAGTAACCAAAAGGGAATTAGGTAGAATTTTTTTCTAAGTGTGGAACATTGCTTTCTTCAATTGGAATAAACAAGTTATAGGTATTATTTTAATACATATATAGTTTTATATGTAGTTATCTGTATTTTTATATATGTAGTTACATATATTTTTCATATATAATATAAGTAATATACATACATATCACACATACACAGTCATAGGCCGCATCACACACGAACACAGTATTTTTACTATATTTTTGGAGAGATGTTACTTTACAGTCATAATATCAAATTTCCCTCTGTCTTTTCCATCCTGTGACTTTAGGTAAAGAGTAAACTCTTTGTCATAAAAAGTTGGGTATACTGGGTGTGAGATCTTTAAGGAAGTATAAAGAAACTTTAATAATTATCTAGAACAACTATTGTAATAGGGGAGAATACTGAGATTCAGAGAGATTAAGTACATACTTTTTATAAATCGATAAAGATAACAGAGTAGTTTTCCATAATTATGACAGTCATTGCATATAAAATGCTGAAAAAAGTACTGGGCTACATATTAGACACTTGATAAGCATTAACCCTAGTAGTATTAGTAGTCATGATAATAACAGTAGTAGTAATAATGATAGTAATAGTATTAGTGGTATCATTATTATTATATTATGATAAATGCCAAATTTATTAAATACAAATACTTCCCAGAAAATTTGACAATAGATACAATATTACACCTATCATATCTAAATAATTTTAAGGGACAATAGATATGAATTATAAATACAGACATGATGGGTCTATAAAAAGTCAGTGAATAGAAATCAAAGTAAATAGATCCCTAAAAATTGCAAGCCAATTTTACCATATGTAGCAGATTTTCATAAGCCAATTTAAGAATCTTATTATGTTTAACATATAATTTTTTGATTTTTCATGTTAAGAAACTCTCGACTAAAGAAATGTAAATTATGACTGTTAATCATAGTAGTCTATTTTGCATACCAAATATCAGAAATATATTAATTTCTCCAAAGTTTAAAAAGATCGTTTAGTCTTTGTTTTGTAGTATTTAATGAATGTGACAAGTTAAGCAAAACAGTTTTAATTATTTTTAAATGCAAAGACTAAGTTTCCATTTTGAATGAAAGCAATGATTCCTAGGCCCTAAGGAACATATATAGTATGTTGTCCATCTTATAAAACAAATTTCTTAGTAAAATATGCTACTTTGAATTAGTATAAAGTTAATAGATTTCATGCAACTGTAGTCATCTTTCTTTGTTCAGGAAGTTATATCTAGATTATGGATTTTCACTTCCTTTCTTTTCCTGTCTTTTCCACTCTAACTCTTTCCCAATTTTAGGCTTTGTGACCCTTCCACAGAAGAGTAAGCAGGGAAGGGAAAGAAGCTGAAATTCATAAATGCCATCTTTACTGCTGTTTAGTATTTTATGACAAATATAGGGAAGGTGTGGAAATTATTGACTAAAGTGAGGTTTTTAACTTTCTGTGATTTTGATATAAACTAATCTCATTTATTCCTTACTGTAGATAATCAAGTGGCTACCCCTAGTTGGAACATTAATCCTATTTGTGAACAATTCTGAATTTCTCCATTCTTTCCCTTTTGTCTCCACCCCTACTTCTGCTACTGTAATTCAGTCCTCTTCACCACTGCCTGGATGACAGCAATCTCTTTTTGCATATATTTTTCTCTAGTTTTACATGAACTCTCCCAATCTATTCCCAATATCATAGCGATCAATCCAATTGAAATCAAATCAGATCATTCCACTGCTTATCTTTTAATGCTTCACATCACCTACAGGATAAAGTCCAAGATTTTACATGGTTAAAATTGTCCTTCATAATTCAGCTTCTACTCCCAACTTTCTCCATCATCTCCCACTAGTCACTTCAAAACCCTCAAAGATATTATAATAAATTGTATTTAGTTATCCATGTGTGAGGTTTCTTGTGCTTCAGCCTTTGCTAACTGATACCTCTGTCTAGAGTGCCCAAATCACTCAGGTTTTCACAAGCTTTTTTGTTTTTGCCTTCTGGTCTTTCAACATTCAGATTCAGCAGTGAGCATCAGGAAGACTTCCTTAACCACCATCAGCAAACTAAGCTAACTACCCAATCTCTGTATAATCATATTGACTGGGCATGATTGCTTTTGTCACTTTGTTTTAAAAGTAAACGGTTGCACTAGCTCTCTAAAACCTAAATCCCTAAAAAACACGAACTGTGTTTTTAATTCATGTTGTAATCCCAAAATCTAACACTGTGCATGGCAAAGAGTAAACATTTCATATGTAATGAATTGTTAGATTATCTATATTCAGGTGAACTTTATGAAATCGTGAGATAACAGTAAAATATTCATGTTTCCAAATCTACAACTGGCCCAAAGTGCAGACATAACTCACTTTCTTTTAGTATGAGAGATGGCATAATTTCTTATGTTTTGGCTTATACACAGTACCTAATTCTTAGCTCATTACTTTTTTTCAGTAATTCCAAGATATCTCGAAGAAGTATTTCTATTAGTGTTGAAAATACATCTGAAATAATATTCACTCTATAATTGAACTTGTAAAACTTACTTCTGCTTTGAAGCTCAACTGCAAGTTGTCTTTCAAGGTTTTCTCGAATTTCTCTCTCTCTATAGAGCTCCAGTCGCAGGTCCTTCTTTTCTTGTTGTATCTGCTTCTCCTGGATGCGAGCGTTATCCAAAGCCACCTTCAGTAGACCCTGTCAAAGTACAGGAAATGACATGCAGTTCATCTTATCTGTTTTAACTTATTAAATATAAAATAATATATGTAGGTGCTAATGTCTTGTATTACATTTATTTTGTTTATAGAAATATTGTTGACCTGAATGTTGGTCAACAGAGTCTCCACGGAGGACAGACTATCAGCAAAAATGAATGGTCCAGGAAATCCAGCGGGCAATGCCTGCCCAGGAGTCAGCTGTATCTTGTCCAAGGGTGACTTCATTACTGGAATTTGAACTGGTACCTCTTCTGCAAAAACAAAATTAATATCAGAAGGTTCACAGAATAAGAGATCAAAAGTCTCACTAGGACACCTCTACTAGGCATCTATAAAGATTTTGTTTATAAAATTAATGACTGACAGTCTCATAATTAGAACTCACATTCTCCAGCTGCCTCTAATTTCAGAAGATAAGCATATAAGTAAAGAACTTGTTAAAAATGAAACAATGCTTATGACTAAAAAGGTATAAAACCTGAAGAAAAAAACTCAAGATACATATAATTGACATTTGCATTTATGAATATCTATAAATTAAATATTCAGATCACTTCTTGGAAAAATATAAGCAACATTTTATCTTTTCTCTCTAAATCTATTAATCTATTAATCGATTTAATTATCTTGATTAACAGCTTTATTGAAGCATAATTTACATGCAATAAAATTCACCTATTTTAAGTATACACTTCGTTTTTAGTAAATTTCGAGAGTTGTCCAATTACCACAAATCTATCTTAGAACATCTCAATTCCCCCGTAAAGACTCCTCATGTCTATTTACAGTTAATCTTCTTTTCTACCTCAGCCCCTAGAAACCGTTAATCTGCTTTATCTCCAAAAGTTTGCCTTTTCTGAATGTTTCATATAAATAGAATCCTACAGTACATGGTCTTTTGTGTCTGACTTCTTTCTCTTAGCATGTTTTTTAAACTTATTCATGTTGTGGCAGGTATCAGTGGTTTATTTTTATTGCTTAGCAGTATTTCATTTCATGAATATTCTACCTTGTGTTTAAATATTTTCTAGTTGATGAGTATTTGGATTGTTTCCAGTGTTACTTCTTATTTCATGAACTATTCCTTATCAGAAAATAACATGTATGACATAAAATTGCAAGTTATATCTAGTCTCCCCTTCTATTTTTATGTTGTATTCTTCAACATTCTCATTACTCAATAAAGAGATATGAGTAGAAATTTTGTTTATAAATGTTTTATATTTGCTTCAAACAGATACACCTTATTATAAAGGAAATCCCCTCCTACTTTGAGAAGCTTGAATCCTGGGTTATTCTGGCTGACAGTCTTTCATATGACCTGTATGAATTTGATACATATTCTTCTGTAACAACATATGTAAAAAGAAACTGCCAAAGAGAGATAATCTTGAGATGTTAATAAAACAAATTCAGTTACTCTTAATTGGGTCCAACAGCAGTGCATGTTGGGGTGAATCATAGCACCTCGAACAGTTACTCTGCTCACTGGAGTCTCTTAATTTCAGTAAGAGGGCATAGGCAAAGTTTGAAAAAGATACATCTGTCTGGTCAGAAGAAAATTTCAGTGACTCCATATATTCTGAGACTCACTCAAGAAAAAAGATGTGGCTTGAATCTAGACATAACCAATTTCACATGGTTTAGAAACAAACAAAAAAATGTCTATTGATTCTGGTTCCTGTAGATATGGAATATGGATTTGTCATGTATTAAGACTTCATTTTTCAACTGTAGGCAGTCTACATATGTAGTGTGCACAGTCTTGAACCCCACGGATTTCAGTTTTCATTTGCTGTGGAATTTCTTGTGTGTAAAGTTAGTTGGGCCATCCATTTGTGGGAAACTTCAGTGAGATCACTTAGTACTATCTCTGAATAAAAGATTCTTAATATATATCACCTCTACACTTTTTTTATTTTTTCAAACCAATAGGAATTTTAACAATGCTAAATGATTGTATTAGGATCAACAGTTTCACACTGTTTGAATCCAAATGTTAAAAAGAGTATTTGTTTATTGACTTTAAATATTTCAATAAAATGCATAAACTATACCATTAATTTTCTTTAGTACAGAAAGCTATAATGAGTAACTGAGGGAATGTGTTCTCCTTCCGGGTCCACAAGGGGGTGTAGTTTTAAGAGCAAGAACTTCCCAGTTCCATGCCCCACTCCCATCTCTCTCCATCCGGGAAGTTTAATGGTTTAAATTTCGCTGGTGCGGGAAGAAACAGAAAGTCAATCACTCCAGCGGAAGTTCTAAGGAACTCCTTTCATTAGCCTGGGGTCTTAGAGAAGGTGGGGATTCTTCCTAGGTTAAAGGTCCCCCCCCTTTTTTTTTAGACGGAGTTTCATTCTTGTTACCCAGGCCAGAGTGCAATGGCGCGATCTCGGCTCACCGCAACCTCCACCTCCTGGGTTCAGGCAATTCTCCTGCCTCAGCCTCCTGAGTAGTTGGGATTACAGGCATGCACCACCATGCCCAGCTAATTTTTGGTATTTTTAGTAGAGACAGAGTTTCACCACGTTGACCAGGATGGTCTTGATCTGTTGACCTCGTGATCCACCCACCTCGGCCTCCCAAAGTGCTGGGGATTACAGGCGTGAGCCACCGCACCCGGCCAAAAGTCCCCTTCTTCTACACCCCTTCGGACTCCATGTTTGGGTCCCCTTCATCGAACACTCCTTTCGTGGAAGCCATCTTTCTCTCTCCTGGATTTCCCTTCTGGGGTCCCCTTCCACACTCTCTCGTGGAATCCTGTCTTTCCCTCCTAAACTCCATCTCTCTATTCCCTTCTACTCAGTGTGGAAGCTCTTTCCTCTTCTGGATTCCATCTTTCTGGATTCTCTCACTCTGTGTGAGAGTTAGCTGTTTCTTTCTCTCTCCTTCTCCTTATTTCTTTTTTCTCTCTCTCTCTCTAAATAAATAAATCATTTTCTACAAACACTTCTGAGTCCACCATTTACTGGGCACTGTGCTATGGTCCCCTCTCTCATTCTTGAGATGGCAGGAGACCAAGAACTGGAGAAATGTCTTCTCAGGGGAACTGAGGGGCCTCCCCTGAACCCCAACATAACTTCCCAGGAATTACTTTTTAAACTTTAAAAACAGTATTTAGTTTCCAGATGCAGGTGTTTTCTACGACTTACTTGTAGTTTATTTTCATACTCTTTAGTTACATAAATCTGAATATTTAAAAATTAACCCTATACTCATAAGACATTTACTTACTTTTTTTTTTTTTTTTGGTAAAGTCAATGGTAGGTTTAGAAGACCTAAATTATTCCAGAGAGAATCAGCACATTATCACAAATTTTGTGACCTTATTCATCTTATGTGGTTTCATTTGAAGTATTATCTCATAAAAACACTATTAAAACATGTCTTAGGCAGCAACTCTAATGTTTCTAAGGTACATTTCTCGATAACTAACCACATAGTGTTATGCTTCATTTGCATTGTTTGATGTCTATATTTAAGTAATATTTTTTCTTCTTAATGTGAGTGCATTAAGTGGATAGAATGACTTTATGATGATGATATATCAATATTTATAATAGCTGGAAAGGTTCTGTACTTTTGTATTGATGTTTATAAATCTTAAAGTATTAATTTATGTAGCTGGGAAAAGCTACTATTATAAAATTAAGTTCTACAAAGTTAGAACATTGACTTTCTGCTGATTCAGAGACAATATAATTGTTTCCCTGAACAAATACCTTGTGTCAAGGATAGAGTTCTTAAAATAATGGATTCATTGTTACATATCACCTACACATATCTATAACCTCAGTGGCGAGACTCGGAGGGTCGCTTTACAAACAAGATAGCTGAAAAGGAAAGCAACGCATTCAGTATGCATAAAACAAAATTATAAGTACATTAAATTTATTGGAAGTCTTCTATTTGAAAATAAAAAATGCCATTAAATTTGCTGAAAGGAAAATTACTATTGACGGTGAAGACAGGTAGCATGGTCTATGGTTTGTAATGTTGCTATACAGTAAATTGGAGTTTCAAAATAGTATTACTCTTCTTTAAAGAGATAGACACAGCTGAATTAGGTGTTGCTTGCTGCAGTGAGGATCAAATACAAAAGGAATCATATTTCATCAGACCTAGTCAACACCAGGAAAATAAATAGAAATATAAGAGGTATGCAGGCAATGATTCATTTTGATAATCTGGCCCAAGAGAGACACATAGAGACAGCACACGGATCTAAGCTTCTATCAAAAGACAAATAGGACACTGAGGGTGGGAACTGGGATGACAGTGTAGCAGAGGTCACATCGATTTTCAGCAGCAGTTTTAACATGGATGAGATAACCCTGGACTCTATTTGGCCCATTGTTCATACCTACCTGTCCCACAAGCAATCAATTTCCTAGTCCTAGAAAAAGGGCCGTAAAGAAGAAGGATTCTCCTTATGACTTCTTATGATTAAGTTTCTGTGCTAACCAAACATGCTTTTCAGACCAAGGTCACATTGCATGTTAAGGTCCATCATAGCCCTCAAACTAGTAGAAGTGTATTATCTTTTAGTGTATGCAAGAGGAAACTGTCAAACTATTCATCAGATGTTTTTCCTTTTTAACTCCTTTGCTACAAAAATGAATGGTAAATACATTAGATCAATTTCAATCTTATAATGTTTTAACATCTGAATAGCATTTTGCTCAGAATTTAAGTAAGTGCACTGTTATATAGGAATTTACTAGGTAGGGTTGGAAAATTCTATTGGCAATACAGTTTTAAATGGGCAAGTACTAGAAACACAGAATACTAGTTAAATAAGAGCATCTCTTTCTAACCCCAGGAAAAAGGGCTTTGATTATTTTGATTTAAAAGGCTGATATTCAAAATGTACATATCAAAACCTTTATCAGCATATAGAACATAACAGAGTAAACCACAAAGTAAAGATAGGAGAACTGCTATCTAGTCAAGGACATGAGTGACCTCTCCAGTTATTGAAGCAAAGTGGAAACCACTTTTATTAACCCTATTTGTTAAACCTGCCATACTTCGTAATAGCACTAGGGAATCCACTTAGCAAATAAGCTCTTCAGTTTAATTTTTTTCTTAGATCCCAGATGAATAGATATAAAAGTTGACAAGAACTTTTGTGGAAAAAAGATAAATATATATAGTGAATGCTCAAAAATAGAAAAATAACCCAGAAAATTAAGTTGAGGCTGCTAGAGACTCTCTACATGACTCCAGTGCTTATTTTCCCACTTTTTCA